TGAGTTTTGAATTCATTTTGAGTTTTGTGTTTTAAGTGTCCATTTTGAGATTGTTGAAAATATGTTCTTTTTGGTATTTTGAAAATTTTGGCTTGATTATAACTGAAAACACCCAAAACGACAATTTTGTCGTTTTGTGCTTTCTTAGTAAATTTTCAACCCGTTTTCAAAAACGCGTTTTCGAAAATAGAAAAGAGAACGCGTTTTCACTGTTTTGAAAAATCGAAACGGGTTGATAATGGCAAAGAGAACAGGCCCTAAGTGTTTCATTGCATGAAAAAAAAAAACTGCGTCTATTTCTTGTCATTATTCTTCCAGACTCCAGTTAATGATCTCTTATAATAGCTTCTACTTGGAATTTTCACAACTTCTTCAAAAATGTGTCATGTAGTTACTTGATCTCGGATAATTAGCCCAACATAAATCATCAAACTTTCTCAAAGAATTAATGAACCAAGCATTATCTCTTTTTATTATTCGTTCATAATTTCAAGCTAAAATTGAGTGGCATAAAATTTCATTGACATGTCATTATCCAATCGACCCATACATGCCCGAAGACAAAACTGTAACTTTATGAGTAACACAAACATTAAGGGTACCTCTCAAAAAGCTTGAAATCTCCATGCACTAATGCCGGAACTTGTTTCATGGGATTTACCTCTGTAATAAAATCATAGTAAACACAAAGAGAGACACAGGATTGAACAATACATTTCTCAATTGTAGTGCATGCCTGGCTAAGTTCAAAGTTTGCATAAAAGAAAATAAGTTTCAAAATCAAAGTTGAAAATAATTACCTCGCATTTCTGTAAAATTAACAACTTTTATACTTACAAATTACAAAAAGTATAATATTAAAACACATTAAACAATACTCTTCTGAATTATATTACATGTTTGGTTAAAATTATAAGATTAAAATATAAGTAAACAAGTAAGTTTTAAAATAAATAATTCCTTCCTTTCGTTAAAGTTGGAAATAATTACAGCAATTCGCATTTCTGTCAAAAAAAAAAAAAATTGACTTTTTCACTTATAAATAAGAAAAAGTAATACCATCAAAATTTAAAAGTTTCAAGACTTTAGATCACATCCATCGCCACGCAAAAGATGTGGTCAACTCCCATCTTTCAAAAATATAGATCAAAAAGTAAATTCGATTTGCTCGTAGAGGGCGCGTTGAAGAGAAGATTATAAATGATTACACAGTAAAGAGAAAATGCAGAATAAATGAGATTGAACCTGCATATTCAGGAGAAAAATTCTGTCCTTTGGCGAGTTGAATCTTCACCTCTTCAAAATCGATCCCGTTTACCCTTAACAAAACAAAGATCAAATAATGTAAATATCAGATATAAAAGAAAGATTTCAAATTTTAATCCCAAAAAAATGCCAAAAAAAAAAAAAAACATTTTCAAGAAACAGAACAAATGAAGCAGAGAAAAAATTACTTGCAGAAGGTAAGAATTGCACGAGAAGGCTGGGACATCCGATCCACATACAATTTCAGGGCCATTTTTTTCTCACTTTTCTACACGAAAACACGCTGATTGTGGCTGATGGATTAGGGATTATTTGTTAAAAAGGCTAGTCAAACAATGATTTTGATTAAAAAAATCCCATCAAAATGTTCTTGGCCAAATGGCACAATAAATAAACAATATCAAATAGTGGAAATTGCAAGAAATGTCCACTTTCTTCTAACCATTTGTAAAAATGACAGCTTTCAAAAATCCTT